GCTGAGCTTTCTTTCAGAGAAATGAAATCTTGTGTTTATACAAAAATCTACCTGTGACTGTTCATACCAGCTTGATTTATAATAGCCCAAATCCAAAAATTCCAGAAAGTCTCTCAATTAGTGTGTCATTATACAAACCTTTGAGCATCCTTACCGTAGAATAGGACTTAGCAGGAAAGAGGAGTGAACTCCTAATACACACAATTTGGATGGATATCAAGGGCACTGTGCTGAGGGCAAGATCACATTAATATGTCATTTTTTTCAGATGAAAAATGCTTAACTTTATTATTAATCAGCGAAATGTAAATCAAGATTAGAATGAGATGTCATTTTACATACATTCAATTGGCAAAAACCAAGTATGACAATGCCTCCTGAAGAGAACATTGATCAGTGAAATCTCTTACACATTAATAGTAGGTGTGCAGATTGAACAGTTACGTTGGAAAACAATTTGGGATTATCTTATGCTATTGAATAATCACATACCTAGGAATTTGACTCTTAGGTATATACCCAAGAGAAATTTTTGCCATGTACATCAGAAGACATGTGACAAGAATGTTGCCAGTGGGACTGTGTGGTCTCCGGTGGATGGGCGGCAACTGGTGAGGCACCAGAGACATACAGGGAAAGACTGCATGGGGTGAGNGGCCGCTCACGCTGGCTGCTGGCTACACACGGTAGCCCATGGCAACCCACTGCAGCAGGGGACTGCAGCCTATGCCGTCACCAGTGACTCATGGCAGTCCAGCTCCAGGTTGAGCTGTTGTTCAGCATGTTAGCTGTGGAGGGCAGTGTCACTGGCCCTCATATGTGGGATCCAAACTGGGGTCCTCTGGCGTCCCAAGCCAGCTCTTAACTAACGCGCCACTCGGCCGGCCCTATTCTATTATTTTTTCTTTTTAGCTGAGCCATCCTCCCACCTGTTGGCAGCTCAGCAGCAGCTCAGCTCGGGCTGGGACTCGAACCGCTGTTGCTCGGAGATCGCACTCTTGAGTGAGCTCTTAACCAACTGAGCCACTTGGCCAGCCCTCATACTTTATTAGATTCATACCTGAGTATTTCATTTTTAAAGTTGCTAATGTAAATAGTATTGTGTTTTAAGTTTCAAATTTATTTATGTATTACTGATATATAGGAAAGCAGTTGACTTTTGTAGGTTAGCCTGGTATCTTACAACCTTGCTTAATTACTTATTAGCTCCAGGAGTTTTGTTTTATGTTTTTTGGTTAATTCTGAAGGATTTTGTACCCAGGCAGTCATTGTCATCTGTGAACAAAGAGTTTTATTTCTTCCTTGCCAATCTGATAATTTTTTTCCTTGTCATATTGCATTAGCTATAATTTCTAGTATGAAGTTGAAAAGGAGTGATAAGAGGTGAAATTCTTGCATTGTACCTGATCTTAGTGGGAAAGCTTTGAGTTTTCTCACCTTTAAGTACAGTGTTAGCTGTAGATTTTTGTAATTTTATCAAGTTAAAAAGTTCCTCTCTCTTCCTAGTTTACTGAGAGTTTTTATCACAAAGGGTGTTGGATTTTGTCAAATGCTTTTTCTGTACCTATTGATACGATCATGTGATTGCTCTATATTTTTTAGCCTATTGATGTGATAGAAATTCACTTTTTAAAACTGAAATTCAGTGATTTTTAATTACAAATTTATACAACCATCATCACTATCTAATTCCAGGACATTCTCATCACCTGATGAAACCCTGTATCCATTGCCTTCCCCCCACCCCTCTTCCCCAGTAAACACATGAAGAAGTAACTGTACCCTTTCAGGCCTGCTTTGTCTAATATGGTAGCCAACAACCACATGTGGTTATTTATATTTAAAGTTAAAGCTAATTCCAAATAAAAATAAAATAATCTATTTAGTATTTTGCTTGCAGCAACCATATATTAAATGCTCAATACAGTCACATGCATTTGGTGGATACTGTATTGAATAATGCAGATATGGAACATGTCTGCCATTGCATGGACGTTTATTTGTCCATTGCAGCTTTAAATGCTATCATAGATATGGGCATGGTTCTAAGGTACAGTATAATGGGTCACTGGGGACGCCTGAAATGATGACATTTAAGAAGAAACCTGAATTATGAGAAGGAGCAGTAAGGGCATTGTATATGGGGTACAGTTGTATCTAAGTGTTTGCTATATACACTGAGAAATACTGTTATTACTTTAAACAGTTTATCTTTTAAAACTATAAGAGCTTTAGGTAGTGTATTTTCTCTTGTTCTGATAGGAATTGTTTCTGGTGAGACTGGGGAAAGTATTTAATCAGCATGTTGTGATACATTAGTATTTTAGTTGACTATTTAATTTTGTAGATTGGAAAAATGATTCAGTGCTTTATGAGTATTTCGGGCTTGTCTTCCAACTGAGATAAGTTTGGTCTTGCATCTTGTAATTCACTAGTGAGTTTTTGATCATAAGCATTTGCTTTGCTTTATCACCATGAAGAAACTTAGAAGTTAGTTCGTCTGTGCCTCTAAATTGCACACATGTGGAAAATGAAGTGTAATTGACTTGGTTGTGGTCACATGATTGATCAGTGGCAGAAATGTGACTCAAAGCTGTTACTTGGAACCTTTGGTCCAATGTCCTACCAAATCTTTTTCAAAATGATCATTTTTAAAGTATAATCTTTTTATGCAGAAGATGGATGCTAATCATAAAGATGCCTAGGACTTCTTTAATCTATATGTTAAGAGATTTGAAGGCTCATTCAAGAAGTGTTGAAATCTATAATAATTCTGCATGTTAGAGATCTGATAACACAAACGCCTCCTTGTGGTTCTTCTCTGAGTGTGATGTATTTCCCTCCAGGGGTTGTCGTGGGCAGTTATCTCATGTTAATGCTCATAATTACCTAATGTCACGAATCTGGGGGTTGGTTTTCTGGGTCCTTGACTCTCCTTTTCAGAGACTATATTTTCTCCATTTACAGACGGGCTAAGGTCGCTCGCGTGATTGGTTTACTGGCTTCGCACACAGCTGAACTCCAAGAAAATACACCTGTTATTGAGGTAATTTCATTTATTACTGAAATGTTACAAACGACAAAAAAGATTGTTCTTCATTTTGTAATTTAGAATATGTGGCTTTCATTGACCTTCACTTAGATTCTCTTTGTGGAATTATGGCAATTGTTACAAAGTGATAATCTCAAAAGACCTTTAGTCTTAAATACAGTCAATCATCTACAACACATTCTATTAAAGGGGGTTTGGCAGAGTTACAAACAAGGCTTGTGGGCTGTATTCATTATTTAATTATTTTTGGATAAGGCTTGTTCCATTACTGGTTTTCTTCTAGTCTACCCAACCTTTTATTAAAACTAGTGTATTTTGTAGGTGAAACATAGCTCAGATTACAACTTGTTTAGCTGTTCACCTTGAATTTAGTGTTTTTACCCTTACCGTTTGTCAGTTATTTCTGACAGTGATCTCACTATGGAATGGCCATGCATGCGCTAAAGATATTTCCTAATAGCAGTAATTTCTCTCCAGTACTGATACCGGGAAGCCTTTCTTGGTTAACCAGTAATTCCAAGTCCCACAAAGTGAATGCTAGCATTGTACTGCCTCTTGAGTATCCTTGAACACAACAAAACTGTGTTCTGTCGACCCTGTTAATGTGTATTGCACTTAATTGGTAATAGAGTTTTTCCCCTTGGAGTAGGAGTGTCTCAAATGTTGAAATAGGCGAGAAGAGCCAGGCCTTTTAGTGGGAGGCGCAAGAACTGCAGGAAGGAGCGAGTAGTAAGAAGAGGGGTGTGTAGAGCCGGAACCCAGTGGTCTGGTACTTGGAGCTGGAAGAGGAATTGTTTAGCCAAGAGCCATGCAATAGAACTTCCTGCAGTGGTGGAAAATGCTCTGTATCTGTGCTGTCTCCTAAGTGGCCAGTTGCTGGGATGGTGTCCCAGTTAGCCCTGTGCGGGTGGACATTCGCTAGGGTGGCGAAATGAAAAGGACTTACAATCCTAAATGTTGGTGAGCGTACAGAACAGAAGGGGTGCTCCTGTGCTGCTTCTGGGACAGTCCAGGGCACAGCCCCTCTGCAGAAGTGCTTGGCCAGGTCTCCTGAAGCGGAGTTCATCCAGCCTGTGACCTAGCGTCCATTACCCTGTAATCCAAAGTAGCGAATGACATGTGCAAGAATATATACTGCCAGTGTTCTTTGTAACAGCCCCAAATTTGAATTGTCTAAAATAATATGTCCACCAACAGTAGAATGGACAGCGTGTGGCCCATTCACACAATGGAACACCACATGGCATTGCTCATAATAAACTACAGCGTTGGCCGAGAAGCCCGAGTGAACCTCATGGTCCCAGACAGCTGTCCCAGGCAGCAGTCAGACATTGCCTGGTGCACAGCCATCCATGTGCTCAGCAGTGCTCTGGGGCTGTGATGGTTCTTGTTTAGGGGTCAGCTCCTCCGTGGTGCCGGACAGGGATGTGTATATAGGTAGAAGTCATGGCAGGTTAGGAGATGAGGGGTGGGTGCCTTGTGCCATAGAGTCCGGGGAAGACAGGCCAGACAGAGGCCACAGGTGGAGCTGAGAGGCCCCACAGGCCCTGTGGGACCCCTGTGCTTAGTTAGGACATGGCTGTACTGCTGCGGTAGGCGTTCCTGCAGGTCTGGGCAGAAGGCATCTGCAGCCACTGGGGACTTGTCAGTCACCCTGGGCGGCGTGCCCCAGCTCACCCTGGTTCCATGCTTGTGGTCTGATCCCCTGGCAATTGCTGTTGCTACTGTTGCCGAGAGCAGTTTCTGAACTGCACTTGTCTCTGAGCTCATGCAGGCTGAATTCTTGGGCCAGGACGTCCCTCTCCTCAGAGACGGGTGCTTCTCAAGGTATGTCCCCAACTCCTGCTGCTGTTCTTATTGTACAGTGCAATCCTGACGCTGCCTCCATTGAGGGGTGGCTCTTAATTCCTGAGGTTCTTGTATCCTTCATTCCTGAGGCACTGCTCCCTTTCTGGATGTTTGCCAATGTTTTATTAATTTGAAATGAAACTTCGGAAAAATCATACTTATTTCATTAAAAAAAAGCAATAGTGTGTCTTTAGCTATTGGGGAAGCTATTTTGAATTACACACACTATATTGTGAACTGAGTTCTGCTGGATAATGAGTTTACAGAATAAGTGCCAGGCATTTGGTCTTTTGTGATACCATCTTTTTTTATTCAATTGGCTGTGACTTTTATTCATTGAAGCAGCCACTAGAGGTCACTCAAACCCTGGAAACCAAGTTTTTCAAGTCGAATTTTTCTTTCAACTTCAGGACGAAGCAGGCTTAGCAGATGCATGGTTCCGTGTTTCATTTTTCCCGTTTTCTCTTCTCTTCTCTTCTCTTCTCTTCTCTTCTCTTCTCTTCTCTTCTCTTCTCTTCTCTTCTCTTCTCTTCTCTTCTCTTCTCTTCTCTTCTCCTTGCATTTCAGCTACATGAAATGAGTTGCATTCCATTGGTTATTAATACCATTTGAGATTAATGAAAGCCAGGAGAGCCTCTCCAGAGACATGCATGTCAACACCCTGCCCATGAAGACAGGGGATTTGGAAACCCAGGGGAAACCCTGGGTGAACCTTAGGTGCAGAACTCTTGAGACCAGGTTTCTGTAAAACTCTCCATTGGGTGTGTGTAGACAGTTTTTCAGTAAATCATTAATAAAATTTCAAATGTGAGACACATCCTGATTTCTCCAGTAGGTTTATTAACCACTGGACAGTAAAAATTGTGGTTGAAGATCCTATAGGAATTTTAAAGGCATAGAACCTCATTTTATTATTCACCTGTGTTTTCCATAGTCCCTAGCAGCAAAGTAACATGCATTTCAGGCACTCAGTGTTGAAATATTTAATAAATGATTAAAAGAATGGTAGGAAAGTATACCAATGTAATCTGTTACAAAGAGGCAGAAGAGATGGAGGAAAAAAACCCCTCTGTTTTACTATCCTTACAATATAATTTAAGTCTCTTTCATCTTATTCTATCCTCAGTGGCTTCAGAAAAGAGCTGATCATGACCTCTTGTATGTGTTTAGAAGCATTTATTGAATGCTTCTTTATCTTGTCCACAGAAAAATATAGTCAGCTTCTTGAGCTTTTCCTCTTAAATATTTACCACTCAGTCATCTTTGTGGTTCTTATGTGTAATAATTTTTAAGAAATATTCCTGATATTTTGCTACATACATGTAGCCTCTAGCATGCAGTGGATATATTTTAGGAAATTCAGTACAGAATCGTAAAATTTAGAACTAGAAGGAATAGTAACAGACATTCCAGTTTGACCTCTTCTTTAAACATCTTTATTATGGAAAATTTCAACATATGTAAAAGTAGAGAGACAGGAATAATGAGATCTCTGCTTACTTCCAACAACTATTAGCGTTGTGCCAATCTTGTTTGTCTATCATCTTTCTCCCTCCTCCTCCCCACCTCATTTCCTCTCTCTTCTCTTTCTCTCCCCCCCTCTCCTTTTCTCTCCCTTCTTTTCTCTCTCTCTGTCTCTTGCTGTAGTATTTTAAAAAAATTCCAGACTCATATTTCACTCATAAATACTTTAGTATATATATATCTAACAGGAAAAGATTTTAAAAAGTATAACCACAAAATCATTATCACACTCAACAAAATCAACCGTGGTTCCTGAATATCATCTAATGTCCAGTCGGTGTTCCCATTTTCTTAATGGTTTCATACATGTTGTTTCATACTTTTTCACTGAGCCAGGATTGAATTAAGGTCCTATATTGCATTTATTATTATTTTTTAATTGAAATTTATTGGGGTGACAATGGTTAGTAAAATTACATAGGTTTCAAGTGTACAATTCTGTAATATGCATTACGTCATCTACATATCACATTGTGTTCCCCACCCAGAGTCAGTTCTCCTTCCATGACTGTGTATTTGAACCCATTTACCCTCTTCTACCATCCCCCCCGACTTCGTAACCACTAAACTATTGTCTGTGTCTATGAGTTTTTGTTTCTTTGTTTTTCTTATTCTTTTGTTGCTTTCAGTTTTATATCCCACATACCAGTGAAGACATATGATTCTCAGCTTTTTCTGTCTGACTTATTTCGCTTAACATAATAATCTCAAGATCCATTCATGTTGTTGCAAATGGCACTATTTCATCGTTTCTTATGGCAGAGTAATATTCCACTGTGTATATGTACCACATCTTCTTTATCCAATCATCTATCGAAGGACACTTTGGTTGTTTCCATGTCTTGACCACTGTA